CGGCACTTATAAGTGCTTCGTTTGGACAAGCTATAATAAATTGAAATATTAGTGTTGCCCCCAAAAACTAAATGTTATTTAATTTTAAAAAATGTAAAATTGGAAAAGGAAAGAATATGCTTTTTGTTTTTTTTTTCATCTGAAACTTTGTATATTATAGTATGGATGAAATCGTTGATGAAATACAAAGGTAGGATACTAAGACCGACTGTCAACGATTACGACACTGGCAACATAAGGCCACAATGGGACGAACAAAATCCGATTCTAGGAACCTTAAAGACTAAAGCATAGAAATACACAAACGGAACAAAACTACTCCACTTCGTACAAATCGATAAAATAGCAGCGAAATAGCCTAAGACTCATGAGCTAAGATTGAAGCAAATCTTTTTTTTCAATCTTTTTTTTTTTAAAACAACACAAATCTGGGCCTAGAAGAATCACCTAAACGAATAACTATTGAAACTTCTCCTTGCCATGATTATAACACGGATCGGACGCTCTCTATCCCTCTTATATCTGCTCCGGCGAAGCCGAGCCATCCGAAGCGGCACATACGAACAAACCCTAGGACTATACCAAATCTCTTGAGAAGATTGGAAGGATGGCGTAATCGTCGGTGGTGGAGACCTCCAAGATCAAAGCAGAGAGTGAAACTTTTATGAAATTTGCCTTTGTCGATAAAAGCCAACCATATCTGATACATAATCAAACACGCAAAGGAGCAACATACTCATGATTAAGACCCAAACGAAGCTTCAAACTTAACCCACAAACCATAAACCAAAACCGGCGAAAAAACCAAATCTACCGTGAGGATGGGTATAATCCGAGACTAAACCATTAAAAATCACCGTAAACTTCATCGCCTCATCGGTCGTCATCTATGGATTCGGCGGATTTCACTGACAAAATCAGATTGAGAGAACCTATCGACTAAGGAAAATAAAACCAAAAACACGGTAGATTTGAAAGCAAGAGAAGTGAGAACGAAGTCAATGCAAAGAAAAAAGTCACAGCTCCAGCGTTAGAAGAACCGCCGGAGCTGTAGATCGGAAAATCAAGTTGAGATCTAGAGAGAAACAAGAGCATTTTTTTACTTTCTCTCTAGTTTTGTATTTTGCTCAAAATTTAAAAAAATGCTAAAACCAACTTAAAATATTACACGCAACCAAAAATAAACAGCTAACAAATTTTCTTTAGTTTAAGCAAAATAATATTGAGAGTCTACTACTTTTTAATGAAACTAGCCATTACATCATCTTTCGTGAG